CGGCCGGTTCGCCCCCCCCCCTTAGCGTTTTGCATCATTAAGTGCGTGTTTATTTAAGTCTCTGCCGTGTTTGTTCTCGGGGTCTTGGGCCATGGAGAAATGTCACCCTCTGCAGGAGGGTCTCGCCCGGCCGGAGCGCTCCGCGTCCCTCCCGCTCAGTCCCCGCCCGCGCCGGGACGGGGCTGCGGATCCCACCGTGTCGTCGTCCCCTGTCGCCCTCCTCGGCTCCGGCTGCGGGGGGAGCCGGGGGCCTGGTGCCTGGGCTGGCCGAGACGGTTTCCCTCCGGCCTGGCACCGGCCGCCCCCCCGGGGCTCCCAGCCCACGTCCCGCCGGGCTTCCTGCGCCCCCGACCCTTTGGGGGGGGGCATGGCCGGGACAGTGGGGGACCCCCCCGGGAGGGACCCAACGTGGCTCCGTGGGAGCAGGGCGAAGGGCACAAAACCCGCCCGTGGGCGCGCAGCGGCGTGTTTGCGCGCATCCACGATCGCGGGTGGAGCCGGGGCAAAACCCGACCCGCGGGGACCCTGGGGACGAGACGGGAGGGGACGGGAGGGGCTGTACCCCCCGGTCCAGCCTCACCCTCTGCCCCACGCGGGGACCCTCACCGCCCTTCCCGGGGGACTCATCCAGCCCCACCGTGATCCGCCACGAAGCAGCGCAGAGCTCCTCGGGCAGAAAGGGGGGAACCCCCAGGGAAATGAGGGAGATTTTTAGGGTGAGCAGCCGTTGGCTTTGCGCCCCGAGGGTGGGTAAGTTCCAGCTCCGGTTTGTTGGGGGTTTTTTGGGTTTTTTTGGGTTTTTTTGGTTTTTTTTATTTTTTTTTTTCCCCCAAGCCACGGACTCGGTGAAAAGGAAGGATAAATATTACCCGGGGCTCCAGCCCTGCCAAGCAGGGACTCTCAACCCAGGGTTATTTTCAAAGCAAACCACGCAGAAACGCTTCATGCTCGCAGGCAGCGGCAGGGCTGACTTTCGGGGGAAGGGGGAGCTGCCAGGGGGTCCCCCCCTTGCCCCAACACCCCCC